GGTATTTTTAATAGTATGGGGAATCTCAGTATTTGCTAAATCTCTTTCATCCAGTGAGTGTAGAAAGTCATTTAAAGAATTATAAATCTTATGACGTTCATCTTCTCAAGTTTGTTACCCTTTCCATACTAGGGATGGAGAGTACCACTATGTTAAACACTGACGGTATATTAGTATCTGATACATTATCATTTTAATAAAAATTCTAATATGCTCGTTTTAGAACAAGACTGCTCTGCGGATGGTGGAGTGAGCGAGAGGACGCAGTACTTCACGACAGCTAGAAATCTCTTGATCTCGGGAGCTGATGCTGTTGAAAGACTCATGTCTTCGTACAAGGTATTGATATTTTTTTTTCTAAAGTAAATCGTACTACACCACTCAGATATATATCACCTTGTCGCTTCCATATTTTGCCAGATATGGCACTGGCTTATTTAATGTCACAAATGTCTTCCAGTTTCCATTTGTCATTCTTCCTTATTCATCCACTCTCCTCGTCCTACTCCTCTTTCTGCCAATGCATCCTGGGTTCCTTTCGACCATCTAACTCTTGGTCTTCCTCCTTCCTGCTAGTACCTGTTTGAGCCTTCTGTTGTTTGCCAATTTTTCGGTAATAATACGGTTTAAGATTTTATTTCTTGATACTCTTGCTGATTGTCTCCAAAAATCCATTTCCATAGTCAGTAATTTTTGTTTTGTTTTTAAAGTATCTTACTTCTGAAACCACATAATATAATAATTTTTTATGTCTTGTAAATGTTTTTAGTTTATATTTTCTTGCAACCCTTTTATTCTATAATATACCATTCAACATCAAAATTGCCTATTATCCCAAATTTATTCTGATCTGAATTTATCAGTTATGTTTTCCATGCTCATTGACTTTCATCTTCAAATATTTATAATTATTACAATTTTGTATTTGTTAAACATCCAAATATTTGATACTATGCAGCTTGAACTAATGATAGTGTCATTTTAAAGAATTCATTGCGGAACTATTATGACTTCCCTTTGCAAAGAATATTTTGGGGTGTGACTAAGGTGCTTATGTTTTCTAGGAAGTAGTTGAACTCGCGGGTTATACTTCCCGGGTAGGAGACATGTTAGATGTTTTTGAAGATGCAAGCCATGGAAAGTACCAGCGTACTGTTGTAACAACTTCAGAATCTAAGCATTCAGGCAGGAACAGTGGCTTCAGAATGGAATTCAAGAACGGACAGCCCGTTGCGAAAGGTAATGCCGACAAGTGTCATGATAATTCGTATATATATTCGGTGCTACATAGTTAAATAAACCACACACACACTGTACATGTTCTTACGTAGGTATGAATATTGAATACAACAATAAATAATATATCGAAACTGTCCGACCAACATAAAAAAATAATGGAAAAAGATGTTTTCATTGAAATAATGTTTTGCAGCTGAGTTAGCTACATTTTGTAGCATACAAAAGGTTTTGAGAATTTTTACATACAGAATACGGAATAATAGTTTGAAATTAGCAGTAATGACTCTGTTATGAGGTACAGGCAAACAATAAAATAATTTTTTGAGCAGAGGCCAAACAATTCATACAAAAAAAAAGATGAATTGAAATCAAAATAGCCATTATCCTGCCTTTGGGTAGCTTCATTGCTATTTTCTGAGAAACTAGGTTATGTTAATTTTTGGATTTTGAATAATGCGAAGGAACAAAGCAGAAAGGCAGGAAGGAGACGAAGATATGAAGGGAATAAAGGAAGGATGAAATGGTTAGGGGATAAAAGATATGAAAGATATTCTCCTGTTCAGTTTCAATGGGCATTTCCCCACTAGTTTCCCAATATTATTTACATATGCATTTTTTTAACGCATGTGTCCTACATATCACTACACTAATACTGCTTTCATTTAATCACCGTATCATTACCTACTATATAACTCTCTGAAAGGAAATTATTTATTTGCCTTTGTTAAGGTGTCCTGTGTGAGACAAGGGATGGAACCATAGTACTGGAGAATGTGCCAATTGTGACACCCAACTGTGATGTGGTTTGTCCTAACCTCACTTTCACAGTCACCCCTGGCATGCATCTACTCATTACTGGTCCCAATGGCTGTGGAAAGTCGTCATTGTTCAGGATATTAAGCGGACTCTGGCCGGTTTACAGCGGAGAGCTGAGGAAGCCGGCCAGTTCCGACATGTTTTACATTCCTCAGAGGTTAGTTCAAAAAGATACTACACATAAACTCATTTTTAGTGCGTTCAGTGACATATATCGAACCACCATATTGATCTCAAAGAGAATTGTATCTACACGAATTTTGTCGACATGAACGTAATGTCCGCACCCAAAAAATTTAAGGAGATGTTAAAAATATGAATTACATGTTGCACTCTCATTTTAGTTGGTAATTAGATATTCGTGTGAGGAAATAATTAAATGCTTCAACATGTGGTAGTGCAGGTAGTCAACATGAAAAGTACTTTACTCACTGCTTCATATTTCTGTAAAAAACAAATCTGTTCACTAAGAATACGTGATTTACATAGCACTAATTGCATTATTTTTGCTTTCATGATGATATTCCTGTAAATATATGTTAAGTCATCGTTATAATTGTCAAATAGATTCGCATTCTATAGAATATATACGTCTTTTCCAGACCATATATGTCACTGGGATCACTAGCAGATCAAGTTATATACCCAGACACCGAGGCCGACATGAGGAGGAAAGGCATTACTCTGGGGAATCTGGAACACTGCTTGAGACTTGTACACCTGGATCATATAGTAGAACGCGAGGGCGGCTGGCACGTAGCCACGGACTGGAAGGATGTTCTGTCTGGCGGTGAAAAGCAGCGTATGGCAATGGCTAGGCTGTTTTATCACAGGTTTGTTTGTTTTTAATGGAAGATGAGCATCTTTTTCGTTAATCAGTGAAAAAGCTGGAGAGTGTACGCCAGATGAGCACAAAACTGCGATCCCTACGTGGCATAATGATGTCTGATGTAGCAAAATAGTAATCACTGAATGTATTCCTGAAGAGATATATTTCATTACATTGTACTTTGCTACATTGTGTTATGTACACTATACAGGGAGGAAATGTCCTTCGATGCCATTAGCTAGCGCAGTTTGTATTTAAATAGAGCACAAATATTGTGATAGTTCGCCAATTGATGGACATAACACCAAATATATCTACGCTGAACTAAAGTATGTTTTAAAATATTGAAAAATGTTTTATAATTCAGCAGATAGTGTTCTTAATTATCCTTATAGTTTCTGCCATGGCATTTTAACTTATATTATGCAACTTTACTGATCAATATGACAAACACAGTTAAAATAATAGTGCATTTCGATTTACTTGTTGAACTAATGTAGTGTGTGATGATGACCCTTTAAGGCTGAAGTGTATCTGTTATTAATAAAAACTGGCATCAGTGTTAAAGGTTGTTGGTATACATTTGATGTGTTATATCTGACAGGAAGTAAATAGATTCATAAACCCATTTGTCTTGGAAATGGAAAATGCCAACAGTGGCCGGCGACAGCAGCGTTAACGATTGTGCCGAGCTACTCTCCTTGCGCAAGCAGTTTTGCATAAACTTGTGAGAGAAATGTATGTAACAATTTTTACAGATGCCTGCAATGTTAATAACTTTTTTCTTTCTTTCTTTCAGGCCAAAGTTTGCGCTATTGGATGAATGCACCAGTGCCGTCAGCATTGACGTAGAGAGTAACATCTATCAGGAAGCAAAAGTAGCAGGCATCACACTCCTCACCATTACACACAGGCCGTCCCTCTGGTGAGTATCCGTCATGTGGGAACTGTGAAGTTTTTGTTACAACTGAAAACTGCCTTCATATGTACTGAGGAATTATGTTAAAAATTATCACGATCATTATATAAATTTTGTATACACAGGAAGTTTCACACACACCTCCTGCAATTTAACGGGGAAGGTGGGTGGAAGCTAGAGTCACTGGACTCAACGGCTCGTCTCTCCCTAAAAGAGGAGAAACAGAAATTAGAAGCTCAACTTGCCGGTGTTCCAGATGCTCAGGAGAGGCTTAAGGTCAGTGATGTAATACGAAGTAGGCGAAGGTTTTTCAGTTTTTTGATGATGACAGCACTATTTTTTTTTTTGCAGTGAGCTCGTTTATGAGCATGTCAGAGAAAGTAGCAATCATCACTTGAAAAATGTATATGCAAGACAAAAAGTCTGTTTAAATTATTCATCACGTAATAAGACAATGGCTACACGGAATTTTTATACTTTTCCCACAACCAGCTGTGCATCAATATCCAAACACGAACTTGTGAAATTCATAATTTGTTCTTGGTATTGATTTATTCTGTCATCTGTACAAATGTAAAGCAACTACTCAGAAGCGTGCTAAGAATAAGTGGGTACTTAAGTTAAAAATGGAGATGGTATATTTCCCAAACATTGGTAACTACCTTCAATACCACATGGTGTCACAACTCAGATGAGAACTCAAAATCGCAGATAATAAGTAGAAATCTGGAGACTAGGTACTTTGACGACCATTTTCTTTTGAGTTTGGGCATCACGTAGACTTCATCATCTTGGCATATACCAAGTCTACGTGACGTCAAAACCCAGATGAAGATATCCGTCGTCTTCACTGCTGTGGAAACTTAAAAATCGCAGTAGGCGCTTATTTCATATTTTATACACAATTAATATTGTTCACTTTAAATACTGATTTCAGGAGCTGTGCAAGGTGTTGGGTGAGGACATGGCTTCTGTTCCTGCAGAATCTACAGACTGAACCCTGATCCACCATTTTCATACGAGTAGTTCATTCAACAAGACCAGCAAACCTGTTTCTCCTATTGTCCCTTATGATTACTAAGAATTATATAAACATTATTCAAGAAGGAAAAAAACATTTAATCGATTACAGTTTTATGTATGTATGTCCTTTTTCATAATTTTAAAACTGAGTAGAATTTCCTTATGGTCTGTACAGTACTATCCTCATATAAACACGCGAATAGTGCAAGGCACACTTTTGAAGTTCAAAGTACGTTTAACTACTATTTTAATATAATAATGTCTCTTAATAAAATAGACTTGCAAAAGTATGCTAGAAAACATGTTTTAAATTTCATGCTCATGGGAGTATTTCTTGGTAACATTAACATTTTCTGTTAAATATTACATACTGCAGGGTATATTTCAGAAGCTTTTCGTTCATAATTATACGCAATAACATGTGACCAGTGGTTTTATTAATAATTATGATTTGTTGTTGTGCTACAGTTTATTTGTTTTGTTATATCGTAATGCAAAGCATTTTGATGTTTAATTTTCTTTCAGAAATGTTAGTGGTACTTAGTGTTCTTTATAAAATTATAAAAAAAAAGGCTGTGTGACCGCCAATCTGAAATGTCTTTGAATTAAACAAAAAAAAAGAGGACATTTTTGTATTTAAACGTATTATTTAATAAGGCAAGAAAAATGCAAGCATGGCACAGAATGGTGACTTAGCTTTAAGTATATGCTTTTTGATTCAGTTTTTAAATATTAATATTTTGCTTTTTTTTCCTAAGAAAATGGGAGTTGTGTTGGATATGAAGCTGGCTCTTCACACAGCACATAATGAAATAGAAATGTAGCACGAAATGTGATATTAGGAAAAATAATGCTGAGCGAGGATATAAAAAACAATTAAAGAAAACTGGGAACATTCTATGTTACGATGAAACTGTATCCTGTGGTGGTAGTCGGCTCTTCCGTTTTCATATCGAATATTTCTTCAGGATCGTGTTTGAATACAACTTGATTTCTTTCATTTAAATTACATTATCCGACTTTGCATATGGCTGTCTTCTGGGTTGTAGCGCTGTGTAGTCTTGTAGTTTACTGACGTTTCATAGGTCCTTGCTGTGCCTCCATCTTGGTGATCGCCAAGGTGATGCAGGCAGCAAGGACCTCTGAAATGTCAGTAAACTACAAGACTACACGGCGCTACAACCCAGAAGACAGACGACTTCGGACTCACTGCTTTGTAAACCTGATATTCTACTGTTTCAGTGTCACATGGGAACAAATTGTTTTTGCTACTTACATTTGGGATTAAAAGAAGTAGTGTTACCATTTATTTTCACGTAGAAGTTAATATGTAAGGAACCAAAATTGAAATTATGAATTTATTTAGAGGACTGCAGCTCTCTTTAATGTGTTTCTCATGTAAATATACATATGGTATTATGTAAATACATTATGTATGAATTTTGTCTGTATTACAACACAAGTGATCAGCTGTAAAGTAAATTATCCTATTTCTGTTGAGCAGTCTTATTGAAAAGTTATGAATTTAGTGTTAATGTAATCGTGATTTTAAATTGTAAGATATAAAATATTTTAATGAATTTTTGTACTTTTATTTCAGTCATAATTTTTTGCTGTTTAAATAAAAAGTGTACAACTACGTCATTTAACAGGATAGAGGAAGACTTGCGTAATGTTATCAAGTGACTTATACCATTAGTTTTCTTTCAGGAATCTTTGATGAAACATTTATAAACTCTCTGTTATTACCTATTATATTTAATAAAACTGGAAGTCCTTGCTTTAATAAAGAAAAGTGCTTATTATAAAATGTGATACAAAAAATGTTTATTTTTCTCAAATTGCTGAATGTATTAATTGTAGAGCTACATTTTCACTGTGTTGTAATTTTGAGCTTTTGGTAAAAGAACTTTCTGATTTGTGTATGAGTAATTGGACCCTGGCACTGCATTATCAGCCAACGATGTTTTGAGGCGGATGGCGCCAAGATCTGATACAAGGGATCATCAAATTCAGGTCAGACTAAATTTATGTTTCATTGGGCTATTTCTTCCCCACACACTGCAAAGTCTGGGTGTTTTGAAGCCAATTCTGACATTCACTGTACATTTTGTCTAATTTGCAACCGTAAAAAATTTGAAATGGGTTACATCTGTAAAAATGTTAAAGACTTGCTAGGAGGAGATGACATATTGCCCCGGTGTTCCAGTAGACACCTCTAAAATCCTGTTTTGTAATTCCTCTGCATTCTTCAATCATTCCTTTCAAAAATATGTTAATGTTTAATAAGTTATCAAGTGGAAATTATTCCAAGAATTTTTACTTATAGTTGTAAATCTGCAATAGGACTATAAAATGAATACAAGGTGACCCAACAATATTTGTGAGAGCAAGATTAAAAGGAAGTGGGAAACTGTATCAAGATAAACACATATTGGTACTGCAGAATTCGTAGTTTGGTAACATTAATTTCGTACGATAAATTAGGCCTATCAATAGCATCAGAGAATCCCAATAGCAGGCCTATAACATAGTTTTGTTTAGTTGCAGTATTCAAAAGATAAATGGTGAGTCCTTGAAACATACGTTAATGTTTTCGATACGGTACAAACAACACAAAATCTTGCCATAGAAGCATAAAAATCTAATTCACGTGAGCCTTTGCTTACATTATATAAACATTGCTAATGAAAGTACAGCAGTCATTTACTGACTTGTAATCACGTCCCAAATTAACTCTGTTTTATTAATACTGGGACGGAAAGAAAAATATTGTTCTAAATTAACTGGGGTTAATATCGCAAAAATGAACCCACGATATCTCGGGTAATCATGGCAGCGGTCGCTAGAATGACGCAATCGGAGGGGAGAGGCGGGGTTTCAAACCGCTATGTGCCACAGTCAACTTTCAGCCGTCTCCAATAAAACACACGCTGACATGCATTGCTGCTTAAGGACTATTCCGAACGAAAATCTTAGGACTTCCGTAAGTTTGAAACTCACAAAGCAATCATTTTTGCATGTTATCATTAGTTGGTTTTATGTATTGCTTTAACTTATTCATTTTGTTACCATTTGTTGGTGTTAAAATTATTTTGCACTGGACTTCAAATCCTCCAACTTCATTTATAACTACAGCATGGCCCTACAAAGTAACACAGTACATCATCTGAAGAGTGTAATTCCAAAACTCACGTTTTTCAGCAAGTGGAGTTCTTGTTAATTTACTAATTCTGCTTCATTTAAAACATTGTGCATCAGAGAAAAAAACTGTTTGGTGTAGCATAATGTTGAAAAACCAGTTTCAGAATTTACTCACTCCAGGGCGTTTTATCTCGAAAGTAGCTCAGCCAACCTAATTGTGTACTGTTACTTCCTTTATTTCTTATCATACTTTCCTTTCAACAAAAAGAAGTAAAAAGTAGATAACCATGCTGACTGTATGACCATCTGTTTATTTATAAAAGATTGTACAATGAATTCAGTATAATTTATTTTTTGTTTATAATAATACAAATCTCATTAGATAAGACATCTGCAGATACTATGTTGGTATAAAATATTATTAAACTATTTTTGACAAAAACGTTTTTCTATTTGTTATGTGTACAATTCCACTAGATGAACATTACCTCAATATTAATTTTCTTAAGTTTACAAAGTGTTAGCACTTTTCATACCAAATGTATTTATTGACTAGTTACTAACACAAAAAGGTAAATTTCCCCCAACATTTGTTACATGGGCTGAGTTTTGGAACTACTCTCTTTAATTCAAATGTGCACAGAAATAGCAAGTACTGAATAATAATAAATCTTTGGACCAACAAATGCTAGCCACTGGGATAATACTGCATTACCCATGATCAAAATAGTGTGATTAGAATAAAGCAAGGATTATATTGAAAATCAGATTACTGAGACAGATTAGCCAGAATATTATTCTTAATCAGTCAATTACAAAACATCTTCAGAATAGGACTTGACAGTTTTACCTACTCTGATTCATAACCTAACTGATATGATTAAAAATAATTACCTGGCTACATAACAGAGTATCATCCGTAATTCCATCCAAAATTTATGCTACCGCATATAATTTCTTAAATGAGCACTTTAACCTCAACATGTGAAATAAATATTTTTGGGCTGGGATATAAAAGAATTATTACATAATACAACACAATATATTGAGGAATGTGTTTTTAATATATTGTTAACATATTTCAAAGTTCTAAGCTCAAAATTATGTAACTAAAAATGCACTGGAACAAGAAACAGGGGTCTAATGAGCAAGCGGCAAGATGCAAAGGGAAGCCAAGCCTTAAGATAGCTGTATTTTCTAAAACAATTTACACACTACTGTACCATACTTTCCTTTCAAACTGGACGTTTTACACAAAAATATCTGAAAAACAAAACATACACTGGCAAAATTACTTAGTCCAAATCACAAAAATATACTTTAGAATTCTGGTATGACTCGCTTCAGGATTCAGAAAAAAACAAAACTGTGTAAATTTTGTTGTTGTTATGAATCTTCATTATTTTTGTATAACACTAAAATGAACCCAAAATTAAATGTAATCAATCAGCATCTGGTGTTCAAAACTTATGAGCAGCAGAAGACAATTTCACCCTCATTTTTATGTGCAGACGCAGTTTCGAAGGCAAGATATACCATTTATCAAGGGAAGGGAACTTTCTAGCTTAGCTGAGCAATAAGAATAATTTTTTTAAAATCTGTCAGTATAGTAACAACCAATCACACGTAGACAGGAGTACAGCAAAGTTCCAAAATGCGCATGGTAAATATACCCAGAGACAATGGACAATGTTGAACATAACATTCCCGTTAAATAACTCCCTGGAGCCATCAGACTTATCTATGTGAATTATATTTACATAAATTCAGTACTGAAAACAATTTTAAAACACTTCTCTAACACATGCTAAAACGAGCTATTACACCACTTACAAATACACGTGCTTTCTAAAATATTAAGAACTCAACTGGCTGACCAGTGAACCTTCTTTAGTACTGTCCTATTCGTTCACAAATTCATTTCAAGAACTGCAGAGCAATACAGCCATAAATGACTTTTCATTGGTATGAATCAACTAGCAACTCTATAGTCATTCTTGCGAAGCTAATCTAAGCTCAGCTAGTCAAGAGATTCGCCTTCTCACTGATATGGCGGGAAGAAATACAAATATAGCGTGAAATATTAAAGTTACATTATTCTGCTTGCAATGGATATTAAACTGTACACTTCAGTAACAAAGAACAACTATAAAAAGTAAATAATTTACTTGATCTCACATTCACCATCTTACAGGAAAATAAAATTTACTATACTAAATACAGTATGAACAGCACTAATGGAAGAATAAACTATAATCACTTTTGAAACATTTTATAAACAAAATTTAAAGCTTTCCAAATTACATCTTGAAAAATACACTTTACTTAACGTATTAATTTTGAACATAAACATTTTCTGAACGTTTACAGAATATCACTGACTACATACAAAAGTGTGAAACTATTCAGTTAAGTGGCATAATTAACTGCAACCAGCCATTTCATTGGATTCAGTATAATATAGGCTCGTTTGGATTCTACAAAAGCTTCTTGCAAAACAAAAAGTACAAAGAAATAAGGCAACATGTTTGTATTCAATATGTACGACAGCCAGCAAAATACCATCCAATGATCGTTATAATCACCTACAATGAAAAATTCTGCATCTGGGCAATAAATATATGATTAACCAGTCCTATTCATGCAAGCTGTTGCTTAATCGAGTGTATAAAACATCTAAACCGTCAACTTGAAACCAATTAAGTCTTTTAACTAATACAAGTAATTTATAAAGAGTACAGTGCTTCCTCACATTTTACTTTTGGCTTGTGATTTTAGTGTCTAGGGCCCTCTATTCAATCTTTGTCATCACATTTAGCAAAAACTAGAATGTTGCAGAACAAATGAAGGCTTATAAATAGTTCTCTTAAAACAGCCAAGTATTTTCTAAATTGTGGAATATACAAGATTAATTAAAATCATCTAAACAACTTTTTTTACACATTAAAATGCATAAATGAAGCATGTTACTATGGACACTAAATTTAACACTTCTTACACATTCTTTGCACAAAGTACATTCCACACATGGCGGAGAACATGACTTCTTAAATTCTGATATCATATGACAGCCTAAAACACATACTTAAAATGAACAGTATCTACACGTTTTAGAAATTAATCACATTTAGTTTTCCATTCTAATAAACCAAACCACAAAACAAATTAATTTTATACTCAACGGACTCCTATACAATACCCTTGTAATAAGCCATTTACCACGGTATACATCCGAGGAATGTGCTGAATATTTAAAAGTTAAAACATGATCAGCGGTCGACTACTCTGCAGATCACACAGTTCATCTCAAACTAATGAATATAGTGAAGATTTCTGTCTTCTGGGTTGTTGCGCTGTGTAGTCTGGTCGATGTCAACCAACGTTTCAGAGGTCGTACTGCCTCCGTCATCAGGGCGATTCATCTGAAACGTTGGTACACATCTACCAGATTACAGAGCGCAACCCACAAGACAGAAATCTTCATACTCGCCGCTGTGAAAGCCTCAAATCTTACATACCAAATGATGTGTTCACTAATTTAATGGTATGCAGAGACATGATAGGTAAAGAAGGCTAAGGCATTACCAAAGTATTGCCCTTCTAGCATAATATAACATCTAGCGAGCTGATAACTCATATTAATTAAAATGCGTTACTCCAAACTACACCATTAAAACAAAACAATGCAACAGTTTCTTTATATGTGTAACAAAACTCTTGAGATGTAATTTGCAATATAATCCTTAATGAAATTATTTTGTCCCATCCCACTAGGAATTTTGAACGTCTAATTTAAAACACTCGCAAAGCGGACGCTGGAATTTATCTGAACAATGTTTAAGATTGAATTCACTATTATAGAGCAACCTAAGTTTAAAAAAAAATAATTTTAAATATTAATCTGCTGAAATTACTGTTTAATTAATATTACTTACCATGCAAAATCTGTAACTGAAAAGAATTTGCAAGACAACAGCATCACATTTCACAGATATAAAAATGTTTTTATTAGGCAAAAGGTCATATAAAATGTTGGTGTAGTTTAACGTTGCACGATTTCTCACATTCATGCCCTATAATATTGCTGGCAAGAGAACAGACTCAAACGATACACGTACGTACAGACGATTAAACTGGATACTTCATTTCGTAAGATACAAATACGCTTGCTGTAATGCGGAAATGCCGAAGATGCAAAAGAACATCCCAGGTATATGGCACTAAATGATACTGTAAAACCTAAAACAGCGACGAATAACTGGACATTCATAACGGATTAACTAAATACCAAATTTCATCTGATCTCATTCAATGCTGTTATATACATATCAAAGTCATCACTTTGCAAAGTAATGCAATTTACTTCTAGCAATTCAGTACACGTAAGCATCAAGAAGCACTGTACTTTTTCCCAGAGAACCATTTACTTTGGGCGTACTCTTAATGCGCTCACTGTTCCACGCTGTATCAGTTTAATTTCCTAGAGATATTCATAACTGCATTCGGTACTTGGCGATCGAGATGCACGATTCTATTACTGTTCTCCCCCTACCACAGTTCCCCATCCTTTTCCTTCGCAGGGACTTCAATCACACGCGGTTTATCAATAATCCGAGCTGTTCTATTTCCTTTCTCAACAATGCCAATAATCCAAGCCTGATACCCTTCTTGCTTCTCGATATCCTTGCAGTATGCAGCAGCCTGCTCTCTTGGTAGGCAGATAAGCAGACCACCTGAAAGCGAAAATTAAAACAAAAACTGTAGGTAAAGCAATTGAATTTTTTCAGTTCCCTTCAAATTTTTTAGATTTTTCTTATAGTATTTTGAGTCTGCGGAATAATTCGGAACCTGGGATAGAAACAATTTACTTTAAACTCCTATATCAATTTTGGAAGACAAATAAGGAATTTCATGGCCTACCACAAGGAATCTTAATATCCAAAATGTATCAGACATAATCGAATTATGCGGGAAATTAGCAACGAATATAGTAATTTCATAATGTATTAAATACGAATTACAATTTTATTCATTCGCATGAACACATTAAAAAATGCAGCAATGCCTTTCCTCACCCGATGTTTCTGCAGAATGGCCCTGAAGAAGCTGAAACATATTCCCACAAGCTTTTGCCACAGCAGCCATCTTGGCTATCACAGGCAAGTTGTGGATCACGAATGACACTTCATTCTTCTGATGCCTTGCCAGGTTTTGGGCATGTCCAAGCAACCCAAAGCCAGTCACATCAGTAGCACCATGAGCATTGTATTTGTGCATCAATCTAGCCGCTGAAAATAATTGTCAATACAGTGCAACATTCTTCAGTCTGTTGATGCAGCATCCAAACTTAAAGACTGGAATTTATGAATGAGAATGTATTTAATAAATGAATAGTTAATAAAGCACCGTGGCCGGAATTTTGGAAATACGTTGAGGCACAAAACAAGAATCCCGCAGTATAACTGAATCGATGTTCTGACACCCGGAACCACACACAATAAAAATTAAGTTGTCTTCTTAGCTTTGTTTTCCTTGCTGATTTCTTATTCTGTGACCTCAAATTAACTACAGTTGGTAATTCTTCTTCTTTTTCTGATTTAACAATGTTTGTACATTTTCCGGTACCCTTCACAGGTCAACCTTTTTTTTTTCCAGTTGGCTTGATCTATGGACATTCGGTAGGACTCCCTGGATGAGGGATCGGCCCATCACAAGGCCTCTACCTGTGCACAGGACAGCACAACACAGAAAAACGCAGACAACATCCACGGCTTGAGTGGGATTCGAACCCACGGTCCCTGCGATCGAGCGGCCACTGCGGACCCCCTACAGTTGGTAAATAAAAACACAATATAATTATAATGACTTACCTATTCTGTTCAATCTCGCCATCGAATCCATTGACCGCTGGTATGCTTTGCGGACGTCATCCTCGGAGACGACCAATTTGATTCGGTTCCATCTTTCTGGTTGGTCAAGCCACTGGTGAGCATTTACGGCTACTTGGGTTCCCAATGGTTTAGTGAGAACCAAAACATCACCCACTACAGCATTGTCTGGGCTGAAAAGTTGTTTTAATCAACTACACAACTGCGACTCTTAACGTCACTTACAAAGCGGGCCTACACATTCTTCTTAATCTGTGTTAATTAACTCACGTGCTCCAAACTGAAACTGACCGGCATATTACAATTGTAATCCTACCTGAAATTGAAATATTAGAAAAAAAGGGCGAAACATTTTTAATAACCTGACTTTTATGTCCAGATACACGTTTATATTAAACAACAACCTACCTTAAAAATAAGCGATCTTCTCAACTCAGGAACTTCCCTTTCACGTAAGGGCCACTAGTTTTAAGAATGTTTTTGTTCAATGTTTGCATTATTAGTAAGTAGTAAAGCGTCCCACTAACGCCATGAAGGCACATTGGGGGAGTGGAGGTATAGCTCATACTCTTTCTTGATCTCGGCACTAGATGGGGGTGAGTGGTCAGCGTCGTTGTGGAAAATTGTGTGTGTGTGTGTGTGTGACAGACGTACGTGGCAATGTTACTCAATTTAAAGTAATTACAGAACTATAAAATAATTCTGTAAATATATTACTGGGCATGTTGGTAATGTGCAGCTCTGCCGAGGAGACTTGCTTAACGCCGCATCTGTTTTCTGTATCATTCTGAAAGTGCAAAGTCCTTCTCTGCTCACCTGGCAGTATTAAGAACACAAAATTCGCTTCACTTACACAATGTATTCATTGGGCTGGCACACGGTGGAAGCTACACCGCCAATTGTACACCACGGATTCACAACCGTCTGTCCGCCAGTCACTGTGGTTCCAGCTTCAAGAGCAGAATCCTTGAGGACAAATAATTTACACATCTCATGCACCACTCAAAAACATTATTCAAATAATCTTTCCTCTCACGACAAAATAATTTATATCAAAGTGTCAGCTTGTCGGACATGAGATTTTTGATTCTGGGACTTGTACCGCTTACCTTAAATCCTCTCATGATGAGAGGTACGACGACATCTCGTTCCTTCTCGGTCATCTTTGTCGATACTCCCAGAAGCATCAACATGTTGTCACATTCGGTGACACCCATAGCATACAAATCACTGATCACATTAGCACATGCAATCTTGCCTGCAACATTCTTCCAACATTAATATAATTCGACATGAAATAAACAATTTAAGAACATCCATCTGGTGGCCATAGGCTATATCAATTGCATAACATATTTTTATAAAATCCCCCATTTCTAGAAGCCACACCTTTAAAAAAATAATTACATCTATGCAGACTCATTCAAAATGTGGGTTCATGTAGAGTCACAGATGTGTTCAGTGTTAGGCCAGAATTTATACAAGAATAACGCAAACACCGTCAAACGATGTCTGTTTTCGGCACGATAATTAATATACGTACATGTCGGGCATCAATTACGGTAACAAAATGACTATCAATGAAAATCTTCCCATACCAACCTTAACTTAGCAAACCCGAACCTCGCATCCCTAATTTTCATTTCTAGGGTTATGTCCGGGGCATAAGTTTATGTTCCTCCTCTGCCACAATCCTTAAATGAGCTATGAGACAAATCCACAATGCAGCTGTGAACATCAACTAAGATAATTTCCTTACAAATTCAACCAAGTATGAGGTACCACAGTGTTCAACATAACTTTCAATGATGGAAGTGCATTCTACACTTCTCCGTGATCAGGAAACATCAGAGTAATGAGTTGAGGTTGAGTCACGAGACTATCCTTCTATTATAAGAATTTGAAAAAATTAAAGATTCGCGACGTCTTACCCATCATGTACGGGTCATCAACCAGGGGGTAGAAGAAGTCTGTTGTCTGAACAAGAGACAGACCACCATGCCGCAGAGGAGTTACGGAGGAATCCATGCCAATTCCTAAAATGAACAGAAACGATGCATGAAACCGTACTTCCCAAGTTAACCATCACATACTGGTAAACTGTTCATACATAAACACAAAAAACCTAAAAAAATATATATATTAAAAAAGCAGTAAGGATAAGATCATAAAAGGTTCTTTTAATACCTACCTTGGGTAATCAAAATTCATGTTTGGACTAGTAACTAATTTAAAACTCAAACTCCAAAAGAAATCTGACTTCTTTAAGTAATATTCATTGCTGTACATAATGCATAAATTCTGAAACCAAGTGTTTATCACACTCCAGATCTGGAAGTTGACAATAACTTCAGCCATATGTTGGAGAAAAGAGATTCCAAAATTTGTATTTTATTATAAAGCTATGTCAATTGTTTTTAAACATTTTGAAGAAAAGAACCCGTAACTGCCATAAACAAAATATTCCACGGTTGAATGTGTTATGTGAGACAAAAAATGTTTTTCATTCAAACGAATAATTTTAAACACCGTACAAAATTTGAAATTTCATACGCGTGATCCACGCATGGCACGTCATCGAGTTGCCGCAATTTATTTAGAATCATAGCAAAGGTCACATATTAAATATATTTGTGCATATAAATAACAATAATGAATTGCATTTTCTTTAATGATGAATTAACATATTTATTAATAATCAACTTCATCACTTGGAAAGGGAGCGGGAAAGAACTACAGCTTTAAGCATGATCACGCTTTGCCTATCTCCTACCGGCAACAGTCATGCACAAATATTTTCACCACCGGCATTTAACTGCTTTAAAAGTTGTTATATAAATACCAACTTTTAAGCACTAAATATTGTACAAAGAAATTTTTACAACATACAGATTGATAATTACAATGTAAGAACCGAGGCATCACAAACGTTTATCTGTATATATTATTAATTAAATACAAGTCTCGAAATTTTTGGCCGCCATTATGGCGACAGATCGGAGCTAAAATTACTGCAGCACTAACTAAACGAATTTAACTTACCAATTCGCGGAATTGCCATATGCATGAAATGGGCATGTTCGTCCTGGGCATTATTGTCATCTTGCTGAAGTCCCTCTAGGAGTTTGGAAAGAACCTCCTGAGGGACTTTACACCCTCATCCTTTTAGATCAGCAAAACGTGTCAGACGGAAAGAAGCGTCCAACTCATGTGCCACAGGATCGAACGGCCTTCGAAGTGCTAATGCATTTGGATTTCCTCCTAACTCCAACTGGGCGACTGACAAGGCTTCTTGAGAAACTGATGTCGCTTGCAATTCAGCCATTTGGGGTTGATATGAAGAAATGTTGGTAAAAATTTTTAAACACTGATGTACAAGTACGCTATGAATCCCTTCAACCTCTCTGCGGCTCACAAAATGGCCTTCTCCCTCGGCAGCAAGACCGCGCAGGGCCCGGGCCGAGACGCTACTTGTATCGAGAAGCTTATTGGCTACGCTGTTTCCCGCCACGAGGTCGGGGAGCAGTTAATATTTCTCCCCGTATTTTCCATGTACAAAGGAGCACCATAGGAGTAATGGGAAACAACGCTAACTAATACGAAACATTTTGTAGACATCACAATCTTTAAAAAAATCGCGTAACATTAACTCGGTCCTGCAAATATGCCACCCGATAACGATTGGCGGAATTTCCAGCAATTTTTAAATACATTTGAAATTAAGTTGAATTTTAAAATATTTTACGGCTTAGCAACGAACGTAGTATATCTAATACTGAGCACCTTAGAATAAATATCCTTTTAGATGTAGTTCGAAATGTGGAGACGCTTTAGGACAATTTGAGATTATTATTCTAGATTTTTTTTTATTAAACATTTTATACTACTTTTATAATTTGCGCATGATTGGAATGTTATTTCAAACATTAATTTCACCTCAACTGAAGCCAGTTCTTAGTCGTTAGTAGCTATGATGGTTTCGAATTTTTGTAGAATATTAGCGTACTTTAATGAAATAGACAATATAAATTTGCTTTGACAAATTGGGATGACTATTTTTATAATCATTTTACTTAAATTATGTACCATTATGTAGCGGATTTTGTGTATATACAGTGTTTGCAAATAATATTGTGGTGTTCGTGCTACAAGGCCAGAAAATACACCTCTGTGATATGACTAATATCAATCTGTGAGAATTGTAGAAGTATTTCAAAGTTCTTATAATTCTTATCAACAATAACTTTCACAAGTGCTGTACATTACGATGTTGGGTCAAATATCGATTATACGTGTTACGAATTACCAACAACAGATGGTAGTGCCATGAATATATTGCGGACCACTCGTATAGTGGCTCCTTCAAAGTGGTAGGTGAGAACATGGTCAACTACTTGCTGTTGCAAGTCGATACTGGAGTCCGATCGTAGAATATCAATTTAGTACGTTTAAGATGTCGGTGTCGGACGGACAAGTGTTTGATCCAGTGCTCTTAAATACGTTCCTCATTCGGAAGAAGAGATGCAGGGTTTATTTCCATCGCGGAACATTAATTTGGGAATCGCAAGGGTCACCGTATAGTAAGTGTATGACACTTTTCACTGATCGTGGATGATGAACACAGTTTTATGTTGTCACACAAATGCCAGTTTTGCACTGATTCAATTCAGTGTGAAAGTGTCATTTTCGTCACATTGGATGTAAACCAGAAGCATACACGGTGCATTAAATGTGCGTTGAGTAAATAGAATAACTCAGAGCACAAGTAGGTATGTCATAACTGATTCCCCAGTCAAAATCATTCCAATCAAGACAGGTTATGATTGTTTAGTGTTCTGGAAACTTTATTACAAAGTGCTGCATTGATTTTTGACGTAAATACGTCTATATGGAAGGGTCATTCGGCAAAAAAGTGTAACGAAAAAGTGACAGGAAAATGTGTAAGATCCGTATCAACAAATCGACAGCAATGGTTAGCTTGCGTGCATTGTTATGTTACCTTGGAAACTTCAATTGTTTACTCGGCATTGTTGTGTTATATTAACCAGATTGTACATGGCACAGAAATCCAGAAGACAGCCATCTTCGTACTCCATTACATTTCACTACTTTACATCACTACTTTACATTACATTTCATTACTTTACATTACATTACATTACTTTACATTACATTACAGAGACGTAAATATAAATTAAATAGAGAGACGTATTTACGTCAAATTCTCCGGAACCGTGGTTCCACTGTCAATTTTTAAAATTATTTTAGTTGGTATTTTTTTCTTAAAACTTGTTTCTTCAACTGACGATACTTCCCGACGTCAAAGAACCTGTGTCATAATTGTTTGGAATGAATTTCTTAGCATGAAAAACACCCAAGGAAATTGGAGTTTGTATTTGAGACAAATGCATGTTCTGTCAAACTATCCACCAAAATATTTTTTAAAATAATTTGTAAAACTAATTGTTTGTGAATATACAGTGACTGGGAACAGTTTATATTCGTAACAGCAGCTTCCCCCAGTAGCTCAAGGTGAAACATGAAGTTTTGTTTGAATAGCACTTGATTTATTGTTTGCATGCCCCGAATCAGAGCGTCTTTTATTTTTTATATGTTCAGTAAATGAAATTGCATATAGATTTCAGAATATCCAGTCAGAATACCCTTTGTGTTCGGGAAGTACCCGGTTTGTAACTCGAACGGGTTACCGACTATTCTGACAGGATTTACCATTAACAAGCACCTCGTTGGTAGGCTATACATTCTGCCTTTCTCTCTTACCCGGCCCTTGTCGGGTTTTAAGTGACGGTTGTTTATTGTAAATAATCCACTTGCTCTATTAAATAATGAAGACTTATCACTTGATACCCGATCTTGATCAGGCCTGAGAGTTGTTCTCGTGATTGTTCGGATTCCGTCTTGTTTAGCGTTTACGTGGAAAATATTTAAATTCCTGTCGGAATTGTGTTGAATTTCTAAGGAAGATTTTAATTGTTTGTACATAATTACTTCATTTCACCCGGAAACAGAGTTATATGAGGAGATGGCTCACTAAGACTGAGGAATCAACAAGCGGAAAGACAGAAGAGAGTTTATGAACGTGGTACATTTATTGAAGGTGCTACTTTTTACCAGATTGTACATGGCACAGAAATCCAGAAGACAGCCATCTTCGTACTCACCGCCTTGTAAACTTCATATCCCACCTGTCTAATTTTCAGCCGCCATGTAAGCGTCATATTAACAGTCGATCGATCTGTGATTCGAGATTTTATTGTAGTTTTCATCGTCAGTTGTGAGAATTGCACAGATTGTTTTGAAATTACGTGACGGGATTTAGTGTTTTAACTTTACTCGGATGTAATGTGGAGTACTATTATTTACGATGTAATTCAAAATAGTCACATTCCTAAATATTTTTGATTGTGTATAGTAAAAAAAAAATTGGAGTTCTGCCATCGCTTATTGTTGTGTGTTATTATTATTGTATCAAAGGCTGTTACAAATTACTTTCACACATTATACAATTCCGCTGTGGTTTGAATACCATCACGGGATGTTCATTTCGCTTTGTTCGTGCATCGCGTTTTTTCTTCGCTGTTCACGGTTAGCATATAACGACTCTGATGATTGTACTACGCACACAAAAAAATACTCGTACCATAAACGCAGAAAGCAAATTAATTTTGATGATATTGATCTTTTACAGCTTTTTATTTCTGGTGATAATACGTTTGATAAAGCGATCACTAATGTACTTGTAAATCTTACGAATCCACTGCCTTCCGAATTAAAATTTTAACTCGCGAACATATTTTGGGCCCTTCAAGATAAAAAAGCGACTAGATTAGGTTATAATGGAACTATTATAAATATTATCTTAAACAATTAAGGATTGAAGGCATGATTTGGATATGGAATGGTTCAGGGTATGGGTGAAATTCTGAAATTTCATCCTGTGGCAGACTTCTGAATTAACATGCATTCTGTCTCTTGTAGCTCGCCACATGTTACCACTATCTGACGTGATGGCGGTCCAATACGTTCACTCCACGGACAAATCACACTGTTGTCCTGGCTTGGAAGTACAAAATGGAAGTAATATTGACGATAAACCTTTCGGGGAACACACGTCTGTTACGGCACCAAGACACACAAGTTTCATCCTCCATTATGCAGCTAAGGGAACCAAAAACACGTGGAGACATGATACGGTGACCTTGAACCATACCGACCCTCGACAAGTTGCATCCTGGGTAAAGACAATCCGTAATTACCTGAGTGGTAAGTTACGTCATCAGCAGTTTCAAGGTTGTAAGACACTTGGCACTTTGACAAAGGTGAAGAATTTTCGTGTTATATAAAGAACTATGTCTAAATTTTTCATGGTTCAAAACCTTCCGATCAATGTTTGTATGAAAAAGTATTGCAAATCACCAGATTCTAACTCGAAAAACTTTAATTCTGTCATCAACGCTACCTTTTTATGTAGATCCGTTTTAATATTATGTTGTCCGAAATTCGTCTCTTGTATTTATCAGTATTTTTATAACGATATAACTATGTGTTTGGGACGTTTTATTATTTTATTTTTTAAAAAAAAACTGCGTTGTCAGCTAACAGGATTTTTTCCTTTATCAGCAGATATTGCAGATCAGTAACTCACATCTTACGTGTCTGACTTCCATTCTCTGTAGGTTTATCGACCAAATTTAATATGATTTTTATAGCTTATTCTTGTTACGTATCCCACGTATTTAGTCCTTAATTTTGATAAAATATTAGCGTAAATATTTCTTAAACCTGAATTTGGACATGCCGAAGACCTATTGTTATAGCTGAAGAACAACATTCATTGTTGAACTTATCTTTACGTATTTTTTTATCTGTTTGTCTACCGTAACAGATTAATTTAATTGTAGCTGGTCTCATAAATGGAAATGGTTATGGTTACTGTGTGACTATAAATACGTAATTCGTAAACGTCGATGTCCTTGAAGGCCACAGAGGGAGAGATAGGTGTCTTGGGCACTTGTATTGATCAAGCACACGAACTTTCTGCTAGCTGGATCAACTTTTCCCGTGTTATTTGTCGCAGAACAGTTTTTAAATGAATACGTCGAGATAATGATATAAAAGTAGACCAGCTTAAGAATGACGTAATTGTGTTTAGGAAAATGAGGAGTAATTCCATTATTAAGTATCACTCTAATGGAAGCTAATTGTATGTAGAAAAGTAGCACGTTTGGACAATGATGTTCATTTTACTCGTGTCCGATACGGACCTCAGTTGGTTTTAGGTTATTTTGACACCAAAGCCCGGAAGTTCTTATCGAAGTAGGATATGAACGAGTCCTTTACACTTTAATCTCCACTCGGTGGAATTTAAGGTTATAAATGCTACGAGTGCAAGGATTGGTGTGTCTTGTGGGATGATGCACCGTGTCTGGAAGATATTGGAGGAGTTGATTTCTCCCTCCGTGATGATGGAAGCAGTAAGATCTTCTGAAACGTCGATAAATATCTACCAGACTACGTGGTTTAACTTCCGAGGAGGCGTTTATCTTCAACTGTCCTCTCATCTAAAGCCGAAACGTCCACAGATATGTCAACTTGTTACTAGATACTGATCGCTTGAGATTCTGAACACGAGTGGCCTGACCTCCACGTTCACCTGACTTCAACCAGTCTTTGTTGGAGAATGAATTCGTCTTCACTGTCGACTTAACGCGGAACTTGGAGAATGGTGTGTGATGGATGGCGGACAATTTTCATTACTTTCGTGTGTAAAATAATACTACGATCCGTTTCTATGGTGTGTTCACGCTGTGCTATCTCTTATCGTTTATCTGTTATCGATAACACGTGAATAACACTTTTAAAAGGTTTAGACACGATGAAATATTACATTGTAAGAAAATTATAACTCATTTTTGTGTTTTTTTTAATTTTGTATCTTAAAATATGAGGTCTTGAGGCAGATTTAAATAGATTTCAACACCCGTTTTGATATGTCCGGGTTCTGAAAATGTGATTATGTTTCAGAAATATTACGCACTTACCTTGGAATTTATAATTCTAGACGTAGAAATTATTAAAGATAGGGATTTATGTATTATAATGAAGATTGGGCCACTTCAGACGATTAACTAATTCGTGTCTCTTGTTATAGGTTTCAAGAACAGACCTAAAAGGCTTTTAATATTCGTAAATCCATACGGAGGGAAAAAGATAGGTCTGAAAATCTACGAGAAACAAGTGAAGCCTTTGTTCCTCGTGGCAGGAATCGAAGTGAACGCGATAATCACGCAACGTCAGTTTCACGCCCGAGACACGCTCCTCAACTGTTCTTTCGATAATATAGATGGCGTTGTGTGCGTAGGGGGTGATGGAACTTTCTCTGAAGTATTCAATGGCTTGGTTTTAAGAACCGCCAGAGACAATGGCGTAGATCATAACGACCCTGATGTTCAACTTCCACCGCCTTTGTTACGAGTCGGGGTTATTCCAGGTGGGAGTACAGATACCATGGCGTATTGTTTCCACGGAACAACAGACATTGAAACTGCTGTCCTCTACGTCATACTCGGTGAGTTAACAAGAAACTTATTCATGATATCAGAAATGAAGCTTTTTTATGTGATAATAATTTAAATAAGCTGTTATATTGCACTAAAGTGGTATTTATTTGTTTGTTTGTTCGTTCGTTTTGGTTTGGAATGTGTACGTTTCAGGAACTTGTTCACGTCTTCGTGACCTCAGGCAGAGAAAGTTCGTATATAACATTCAGAACTTCAAGTTTTGATCTTAAAGTGGGTCGTCTGAAGACAGAAACGTGCGATTAACTTAAAATAATAGCATCGTCGCAAGAATTTTATAGTATTAGGTTTGATTTCGCTGGCCAATCCTGGGGTTCGATTCCCGGCGGTGCCCGAATTTATAACTTGTGTTGGGCAAGGCCGTGGTCTAGGCAACACGGAGTTTTCCTCCGTGGCATCCCAACAATTACTCCATTCACACACAGAAGAAGGCAATGGCAAACCACTTCTGGATCATCTGCCAAGAACGTATATGAACAGGTCCCAGTCCGAGAAAAGGATGGAAGGATCCTGTTCATATGGACCTGTCCTCAGACAGAACACTGAATAATAAAATGATGCACACGGTGGTCCAGCGGTTATAACGCTGGCCTTGTAATCCTGGGGTCTCGGGTTCGATTCCCGGCGGTGCCCGAATTTATAACTTGTGTTGGGCAAGGCCGTGGTCTAGGCAACACGGAGTTTTCCTCCGTGGCATCCCAACAGTTACTCCATTCACACACAGAAGAAGGCAATGGCAAACCACTTCTGGATCATCTGCCAAGAACGTATATGAACAGGTCCCAGTCCGAGAAAAGGATTAGTTAGTTAAAATTAGTTAGTAATCGTTTTAATTTACCCTGTAGAATCTGTGTAGATTATAAATCGTGATTAAATAAACCGAAGGGAAAAATGTTTAATTCCAACTCTTCGTTCCGCGCCAGTGTAGACCAAGTTACGTCGGTTTAACTTCACTTCGTCAACTATCTCGTTAAAAAAAAAAAGCCTTCTTGAAATGAACCGGTTTTCTAACTTGCGAGAAAATTTTCGTGTTGAGCGAGTTACGTAAATCCTTGCTTTAGAGTTGAGAAACAATTCTTGCAGGAAAATGGTCTATATAAGCCATTCTACGGAGAATAAAAATTTAACGTCGAATTAATATAATTATAAAAATTTTAAAAAAAATCAAATTCATTAAAGAATATAATCGAGTATAATGTGATCCTGTCTGCAGAAGAAACGTGTTAAGTTGGTTCACCATTTGTAATGACGTCATGAATTGATCTCACTTTTACTCAGGCTGTCCTCGAGTTGATGAAAAAAAAAGAGATTTCTATTTCTATGGTTGCAAAACGTGGTCTTATACACTGAAAGAAGGGCAGAGATTGATGGTCTTAAAAGAAAGTGCTGAGAAGAATATTTTGGTCATCGAGAGAGGAGACGAAACTCATTACCGTTCCGTTTTAGGGTGATGAAGTCATGAGATGGGTGGATCATGTAGCACACACCAACTGCTCACCCGAAAGCCAACCTCTCGGTTTCTGAACGCTGGACGTTTGACGTCACATCTACAGTAGGCGTCCTTGAATACGTAGCGTCGTATTGTATCAGTTTGCATCGGACACCTGTGGAATCTGAAATAATTTGCCTTCGGCTTCCGTTTGTATAGCAGCTGCTGTTTACTCACCAGAAAAGACTGCCGAAGGCTTTATTTGTTTCTGACGTCTGTCATGAACGGTGGAGTGGGGATACGAAAACGTAGCACGTCAAAGGACAAGTTGTTACCCCAGAGCACTTTTGTGTTGGTGCTCAATAAATTTTGTATTTCTACTGAATGGAAGACCGTGATTTGATCCCAGGGTGAGGAAAAGGATTTTTTACCCCACCCTCTGCGTCCAGACCGTCTTTGGGGTCCACCTAGTCTCCTATTCCATGGGTACAGCGGTCGTGACACTTGTCACTCACTCCCATCTAGTGCCGAGATTAAGAACTAGAAAGAGCTGTACCTGCTCTCTCCTTAAGCGCATTCGTGTCTGTGATGGTACCACACGTTTTCTTAACAATATTTTGTCCACTAATTCAAGTTACTTTAGTTTCAAGTGGGACAGAGTACACCACAGTTTTGTCTTAATATGAAGACAAAAGATTAGATTACAATTAATTGATTTAGATTAATTTATTTTGAAACGAACTAATGTAACTCGTGAATAGCTGTTTATCAACACACAATTATTATTTCTTGACATCCCATCAATATTTTTCTTGTTATCTTGTGAGTTTTATGATAGTCGGTGCCATAATGTTTTTTTTCCGTAAACTTCGTGTCAAATCGTTTACGTAAACATTTTTTTTTAATTTAATTTTATAATTTTTGTCGAAAACGTGATTAAGTTCGGCGAATAACGAGATTAAATATGAAATCTTATTTTATCTTTAAATAAAGTGGCAACCGGGGTTAACGAACTATGTAGCTCTCGACTTTTTATTTAATGTTAGAGAAGACGATGGGGCATGGAGAAAAATACATAATGATGAGCTTATAAATCTGTACTCCTCCCCCAATATTGTCAGGGTGATTAAGTCGAGAAGAATGAGATGGGCAGGGCATGTAGCGCGCATGGATGGGACAAGAAGTGTGCATCGGGTACTGGATGGGAAGCCTGAGGGGAAAAGACCTCTGTGGAGACCTAGACGTAGATGGGAGGATAATCTCGTGCGGGATCTATGGGAGATAGGAGTTGAAGGAGACTGGATTTTGTTGGCCCAGGACAGGGTCCGGTGGAGGGCTTTGGTTAATTCGGTGATGAACCTCCGGGTTCGTTAAGCCATCTGGTTAGTTGGGTCCACTATTTGGGAAACCTGAGGGGAAGAGACCGCGGGGGAGACCTATTTTAAACTTCCTCGTTAAGGCAGTTGGAGTGGCAACCTCTACAGTCTGATATTTTTAATGATAATTGGGTTATTTAATAATTAATAATTTGTTGATTTCAGTTGTTTTACAAGTCTCTGTGTACGTATAAATACGTCATACCACTGTTAAGTGATGGAATGTGGCAGTGATTATTCTAACGTTAAAGGAAGTTGTTTTTACAGGTGACAGCATTGGTCTCGATCTCTGTAGCATCCACAGCAACGGAAATTTGTTGCGGTATTATTCGAGTGTTATATCGTATGGCTATCTAGGTGATGTTGTCAGGGACAGTGAGAAATTTCGCTGGATGGGACCAAAACGATATGATTACTCTGGTAATTATAATTATATATATTTTGTGTAATAACATGTTGTCTGTGAATTTTTGTCCAAATTCAGTTCGTCAGTGTAATTTTTTTTAAAATGTTTTTTAATGCCAATTATAGTTTTTATATTATAGATTAAACAACACATTAATATTTAGGGTACTTTTGGGTTATCGGGGCACAAAACAGAGAGGCACGGCCCGACATCATCTGAGTTCATGTGGCGATATTTTTAAAACGATTTTAAAATCTATAAGAGAATTTTGGCCTCCGGAGACAGGTAGTTACAACAATTAACATCTCATGGATATCAAAATAAAATATAATAATTTGTCATTTATTGAAATAAAATATAATAACTTTCAAGTATATGTCATTTATCCACACACATTAACCTAACGTAACCTAAGATAACTTAAAGCGATGTGTCCCGATAACCCACAAGTACGATATTTAGTTACCGGTATATATTATATTATTTCTTTAGAACATTAAATCAGAATCTCTGTGTATAAGACAAGACTAATAGTAAGTTTTAAAATGGAAATGTAGCTTATCCGTATAAATGACTATCATCTTTTGATCACATTCGGTATTGGGCGTGTTAATTATTTTGCAAACCGTCACATACAGAAACAAAATTTTGAAATTAAAAGGAACTACCATACTAAATTTAACATATAAAATTTATGTACCAATAATAAAATCAAAAGTAATGCAAATGGTAGAAACCGTATTAGAGGAAAAGGACTGTGGGTTCTGTAAAGGCAGATTGCGTTAAAATACTGAATTTATTACAAAGCAAAGACGATGTAATTTAGTATTTCTATGAGAAAATAATTATTTATTTTTACAGGTTTCAAAAAATTCATTTCAAATAACGGTTATGAAGGGGAAATAACTTTGCTTGCTGATACTTGTAGTCCGTCGAGAGGACCAAAATGTTTGGAAAATTGCGTAAGATGTCAATCCCAAACAGAAAACAAACCAGACAAAACAGCTTTGAGTCAAGGAGGTGAGAAAAATTAGATAAATAATTGTTACATTATTATTACTGCATGTGTTAGTTAATATATCATTATATTATATGAAATAGCTTACATATTTTGACGTAAATACGTCTATACGGAAAGGTCATTCGGCAAAAACAGCGTTAGTTAGCGCTGAGTCACCTTTAAACGTTCATTTCTCAGGAATGGTAAGAGTAAGGATAATGTAATGTAAAATAATCAGTAAATAAGGACCTTTAAGAATCTGTAATGTATTTTATTGTAATTATAATTCTTTCTTCACGGTACTACTGCGTTTGCGCAGTTGCGTCAGATTATCTGGAACCGAGCAAAGTTGTAAGAGGCAGTATTTTTGTTCGTGTCGTACAGAACCCAAGTTGGAGAGGTCTTGAACATTTTAGTAGTCGAGTATATTTATTGTAAGAATATAACTATGCAAATTTGAGCTAAAAATAAAAAAGTTATGAAATAAAAGAGGAAGAAAATGTTAGTTGTCTTTTGGGTTGTTGCGTCATGTAGTCTGGTAGAAGTTTACCGACGTTTCAGACGTACTTGTTGCCTTCATCATCAGGGCGATCATCGCAACAACACAAAAGACAGCCATCTTCAGACTCACCCCGTGGAAACATTAAGTCCTACAAGAAAATTTAAAGTAATAAAAATAGTTTGCGAATACTGAGCCTACCAAAAACTTGATCACCGCCATCTTTAATTTCAGGAAGGTATCAACGTACCCTACTCAGTGATTGAAGGATTGAACGATTGAACTATCATATTTCATTAAAGTCTTAAAAACATTCTCTATATTAAATTTCACAACAAATTGTTTTAAAAAGAGGATATTTTACATATGCAGACAGAACAGCCATTATGAAAATAAATATGTTTACTTTTTTATAAACGTGTATATGCTAAATGAAAGCTTCAGATTTAAATAATCTTTAATAATATTTTGAGTGAAAGAAAATTTTATACCTCTGCAGAGTGGAAGACATTTCGTGGGAAATTCTTCATGGTCAATGGTGCTAATGTATCGTGTGCATGTTCACGAAGTCCAAATGGTATATCCCCTTACTGCCACTTGGGGGATGGTTGTGTGGATGTGGTAATTATCAAGCACACACACATGTTGAACAATCTAAAGTTACTTTTGCGACTGTCAAGCAAAGTAAAAAATTTGGTATGTACTGTTATTCTTATGTTTCTTATACTAGTTTAGTTAACGAGGTTTAATAATGCTAGAACATAACCTGGAGAGATATTATAGAAGGTATAGAAGCATAGATGATATTAAAAATATATTGAATACATTTGTGGTCATGAATTGGTTGATATGTGTATATTTTTTTCAGTATTCTTTATGGTTTAGCAAAAGTGAAAAACACTTTATGGACACGAGAAGTATAGTTGGTTTCTCAACATGTCATGACCGAAATCAGATTATTACTACGTAAAACCTCTTTTAGAATGTCGCGTTTTTTATCGGAACACCGCGTTTTATATTCATACGCAAAGGTGGTTGTATGTTTGTTTCCAACTGAAAGGCTTAAGTTATTTATCAGCATATTGTTACTCTGAAAAATTTATTGGTTATTGTAGTCCGTGGTACACGTGAAGTTTTTACGTTAATATCATTTTGAGTGTTGTGATTACGTGAAAACGTTTCTACTATGCGCGAGAGACAGTCTTTCATTGACGCTGTTAACAGTAGTGTGCTGGCTGGTCTGCTTTTATTTGATCGCCTGATTTCATCCCAATCAGTTTGACTTGCCTTTTGTGGAAGTGCATCGAGCGAGAGAGTTCACGTTCCGAGCGCTTCCGGCTTCAGTGTCAGACACTGAGTTCGCTCTACCGAGACTCATACCTGGAACCAGCGTCTGGAATTGTGATGGGGAGGTTCAGTGGGAAACAAATATAAGAATAAGGTGAGTTTTTTGATGATGATACATTGTTTTTATATAGTATAATGTTATAAAAGTTTTAAGAGGAGACTCTGAATTGGCTTTTATCTTTGTTATTATGCAGATGCGTATTTTGTTAAGTTCATAATAGACTTGTTTCAGTAGTCGAAATATTTATTAATGTCGCTGCGATATGTGATAACCTAAATTGTTCACTTTGTTCTTCGTAGGTCTAAATACGTTCCAGACAATATTGTTTTAAAACATTTGTAATTCGTGTTCTTCCCTCAGACTAAAGTCACATTTCACACCGAGATAAAACGGTTGGCAAACTTATTGTTTGTATATCTTATCTTCAGCATTTAAAGAGTGGTTAGGATGGTTAGCAGTTTTGAACTGAATAATAACAAGCTTGTCCAGAATCTATTCTCAAAATTTTATAAACCTTATATGTATTTGTTAGTGTTGTTCCCATTTACATTTTGAAACATTCTTATATGACTTATTACTTCGCCGCTAATTTTAGTTTTGTGTCTTGTTTACTTACATTTTGAAACATTCTTATATGATCTATTACTTCGTCGCTAATTTTAGTTTTGTGTCTTGTTTATATACGTAGCTGTAATTATATTTACTACTAGATTTTTTCTTCTACTTGCTTACAGGATATTTATATTCTCCCCAACAAATTGACACCATTACCATTAACATTAGGCCATTCGCTGTCAACATCTCTTGATTTTCATGGACTTTCTTGACTTTTAGATCAAAATAAAAGTGCTTGCTGCCTCCATCATCAAGGTGATCACCCTAATGGTAGAGTTACAGCAAGCACCTCTGAAATTTCAGTAAACTTCTGCCAGACTGCTTGGCGCAACAACCAAGAAGACAGCCATCTTTGTCTTTCCTATTTGTTATTTTGTGAACTCGGATGAGTTTTTTTTGCATCATCTTTGTGTTTTCTACAGGGTTCATTGCCAATTGCTGAAAGTATTCACACGAAGAAGCCAGGAGACAAAAGAAGAACCTTCATGCAAGATATGTTCATTTTGATGTCACAAGATGACAAACCTGCAATCCAAATGGCCTGTACGTGCGTGGGTTTTAAATAGGAAGAATCTGTCTTTTTAGTGTTAATGGCACTGAATTTCATGTCGCTTGAAACGTGCCAAATGTTACACCAGGAGAGTAATACAAGACATGTAACAGCTTTCGTCTTAGTTACAGATAACTGTCTGTGAGGAATTACTGCAGTATTTGAAAAGAAATAACTCTGTTGTTAACGAGGAGATAATTGGTTTTACCAGATGATCCTGAACTCATGTTTATTTATTAGAATTATTACATTTTTTTCCTAGAATGAGGAAGATGCTCATCTTCTTAATTTTATTTTGCTGCGTGACTGTATTTAAATTTACATTTTTAATTACATTGACGAGCAATAATTATACACAGACAGTATAATTCCACAAGTATGATATTTAGGTTAATTTTTTAATATATATAATTATTATTTTTGTAATTAAATATCAAATTTAAGTATAATCTATATATTCCCCATTGTTTACTGTGAGTTCTGTGATTTATTTCTTAATATTCTTGAATATTTTGCCTTCGTGTTCAGGTAGAAGAGACCTTTGGTTTTCACATTCTATGAAATCTTTTTTTAACAAATATCTCGCAAAATGGCTTTTCTGACACTAAATTGAGATTCTTACTAAATGAGGGTTATGCGAAATAACTTCGAGAAACTGTCGGTATTTCTGTAATACTCGCAGTATATAGTTTTGATAAAATAATTTCTTTACATCAGTAATTAAAGGAACTTTTTATACAATTAAATATAATTGCATGACGAATAATACTGAATCGATTTAATATGCCCAAATCAAGGGGCTGATAGTGGCTAGTACAATTAATATTAATATTACAAACGAATAATGAGCTAGACGAAATAATGTTCCTTTTATGCTGTGGCCTATTACACCACTGGTATTAATTGTTATACATTTGGGGGGGGGGGGGCCTTGGTAACCCAAACGCTACAGTCAGATTACTGTGGATGCAAGTAGTAGGAAGGGATTTGGTTCCACGCCACGACTACCCATTATGGACATACGTTCCATCCCGTCTTTGCTCTACATTTTACTAAATTACTCTTTCAATTTTACTTATTTAACTGTTTATACACTTCGGCTTCCAGCAGAGACCCTGAGGCCATCTTAAGTACTAATTGGCATATGGTAATGTTTTTCAAGGCCGTGGATCGAGGAATAAGGCTTTGGTGTACGTGCAGTACATTCAAGGATACAATAGTGACCTCACAACCAACTTGATAGCCCTACAGTTTATACAGAACTATACTACATAATTTATAATAAAATATAATCACTGTCCCTAACTAGGGAGTCCTGTCTGCCATAGTTGTACTTTGAAACAATAGTCAAACCCCGTGCCGATCAATTACCTTCTGCTGTGGTCCAAATGCTTGAGAGAAAAGGGCAGAAACCTATCTGTTAGGCCCTCTGGACCAAGCCTGAGGCTGACTCAACCAGCAGTCAAACAGATTGACTTTCTGCTCGTTTACCATTTTTTATTTTGCCTGAAAACAAAAGCATAAACCGGCTATCAAAATGTTGCAGTTTTTATAATTTTATAATTTGTATGATGGACAAAGAACAATTTTACTTGTTAATTTTTGTACATAATTTTTAATGGATTTTTGACTTGCAATAATAAAAAAGTGTTAAAAATGTAGTTATGGTTAGAAAACGCTACAAGTAATATGATTAAAATTTTAAAGAAAAATTGTTTCTTTGTGATATTTGTAGTATATTATATATTTTTTGAAGAGTATTATGTTACTTTATTAGGATCAAACACTGTATATGTAAATTATTTATAAATAACATTTTGTGATAGAATTGTTAGGTTTCAGTCGCTTATATAACTCTGTATCAGTAATACTATTTTACATTCCAAACATGACAATAAGCAGTATAAAATTTATATTTGTTTTATGTTACTGGTGTGTTCAGGATCATACGAACTGATAAAATATACATCACACCATCAGAGTTTGAAACATTAAATTATAATTAACTAGATTTTTCTGTAAAACTCTTCGGACCTGTGCGATGTTTGTAGCCTATGAAAGTATTAGAAAATAAGATTAATTAGTAATTTATATCCCATTATATAAAAACTGTGTTGGTATTAACGTTCACATTTACATTAATAATAACTTTCCAGGGGCAAAGCATCTGGTGCATGAAGCTTACTATTCATTTTTATTTAGTGCTGAAATCTAGACCACAGCTTTTAGTTCAGGTGCAGGGGGAAACTTTTATTTTAACTTTGTTATAACTAACCTGTCTGTCATGTTCATGGTCTGCCCTGATGACGGAGGCAGTATGACCTCTGAAACGTTGGTTAACATCGACCAGACTACACAGCGCAACAACTCAGAAGACAGAAATCTTCAACTTTGAGTAACATTTGAATCCATGATTGGAACCACAGTAATAATAAACTGTAAAAAAAACAGCGAACGTTATCTGCGATAATTACAGTATTTCATGGTCCAGTAATATACTGTGTTTGGTTTTGACTAACAATTTTATATGAATAGATTTTTTGTAAAAATTGAGATGTTCAACTGATGTATTATATTTTATTTGATATTTATTAAATTTAACTTTAAATCATGTTTTCTGTAATAAAAAGTATTATTGTGCTTTTCGCCTTCAGTTCCAAAGATGGAACATATATATATATAAGAGGTAATTATATACTTCTTATTGAATCACGAGATTGGATGACACAATATTCATGACTGGCAAACTGGGAAGGTTTCTGTAAAACTATCTTCATATTTGAAAGAGCAGAAATTTGATAAAAATAACAACACGTCTTTAGCTATTGCAAAAGAAGTCTTATTCTGTCAATTTTCATTATAATTAAAATGTGTAGCGTAATATGTAATTTGTATTGTAAAATATAAAAACTATATTTCCATAAATCTTATGTGAACGTCTACACATTTTTTCTATATAAATAAATCACCATGATTAAAAACTATTTTTACCACGTGGTGATGTCCAAGCAGTGGCACTTAAAATGGTTAATAGACTGACAGACCATTAAAATTGATTATCGTTAGAAGCGTAGAAGCAATGAAGCAATACACAGCACACTTGATAAAGAAAAATGTGATATCTTTGTTAACCCTTTTACTGTTTACCAAAACAATTTTAAGTGCTTACTTCTTAAGTTCATTTACAAATAAAGTTACTGCGAGACAAAACAACATCTTAATACCTGAATTTTTCGGTGGAATGTCTCTCCAACATTATCAATGAAAAACACATGAAAGTTTTTTCTATACACAGATTTTTATATGCCATATTTTAGAGCTCTACAAAGTTGAACATAAATCCCATAGACGTATCACATAAAAGTAACTTATTTGAGCCACACGAACAAAAATTGTATGTGAGATACTTTCTGAAACAACTAAAGGGTTCAGAAGGTATTCTGCTCTTAGTAAAATCATTTCTATTTTCAGTGGTGTATGTAAGCATGGAAAGCATAAACATGATGTGTTCATTTTTTAAAATCTCCTTATTTATATAGTTTTGAAAGAGTGACAGTTAACTTGTCTTGGTACCAACACAAATAATATTCGGTGAAAAATTAAATAATTATTTTGGCAACATTTCATCACCATTACAGTGGTGATTAACTCTGCTAATTTCTTGTGGTACATTTCACAAAGACCTTATGGGAAGTACGTTGTTGTACGATACATTTTTATACTCGTAGCATGAACAGGAAATTTAATTGCAAAACTAATGTCATACAACTATCAAGTTAATTTTTAGTACGTCACCGGAGAACATGATCATACTTGCAACTGAGAGTTTCGCTGCAAAAATTTATGACATACTTTTGAAATACAGCCTGTAAATTTCGATTGAAAATAAATTTCATAACAAAATTATTATATTTATATCAAATACTGTTTTACTTTCCATGTGGTTTTTTACATACCGGATGCACATCGGTATGTCATATATATTGTGAAAATAGTTATACTAGGTATTACTGGAAGAGAAATTATTCTCCGTTAGTCAAGTCTCCTACCTTTATTTATATCCTTTTTTTGAGGATATTGTTCATGTAGTATGAAAATATTGATGTGCAATTGAAAGACTGGTGTACACTTAAGGAAAAGAAGAAAGAGTTGGTCGTGTTATATATGAGGAAAATAAAATTTTATTTTGTTAATGACTATTATTTGTAGTATTGTTTCTTATCTTTGCAGAGTCCTTAAACTCACGCTTTTGACAGTTATAGTCTCACGGTCTAACATTCCAGAAGATGGTCATCTTTAATCTGCAAATGTGATTATAGCTATACACCTTCTGGCACAAAAATATTTTATGACTTACCTTTCCCTTTGAACTTTGATCGTATTTTTAATATACATGAAGAATATAGATATTAATTTTTATGTAACTTTTTTAATAATTGTAAATATTTCTTGGTGAATGAGATTTGTGGTGGTTTTTCTCAGTCTGTCCTTGTGAATGTTGGGACATTGCCTTCAAAAATAGCCCAAGACCTCTTCCAAAACCTTTTTAGTTCACCAGGTATGATCATTCTCGCATTTCAGTTTATTTGGCATCATTGAATTTTTTAAGAACATTTCACTGATATATTTCATATGATTCTCACAATAAACAATCATTATTCTCTTACCAATTGATCTTTGTAATGAAGAAGTATTGAGTTTTCTTTGAGGTAAGAACTGTTAAATATTAAGATTAGCTTTAGCTTTGTTACTTTAAATACTACCTTTAAAATGGGAATTATAAAATTTATTTTTAAATTTAGGTCTGTCATTGAGACCGAAGTATGTCTGTATGAAAACACATCTTGCATAAATTCTGTTTTCATACAAGATAAGATAATGGTATCTAATCTAGTTGTAAGGAATAACTACCTACCAACTGCAAGGATTTTGGTCACATGAGTGTTTGTGCTGTCAAGTGAATAGTGAGTAAAAATGAGAACCAAAATAGCAAGCATTTATATAGGATTTTTTACTATTCTAGTGACTGGAATAAGTAAGTTATGATAAAAAAAGAGAAATATTATCATAAACATTCTTAGAAAAAAATAATTAATTAAACATTCTACTTCAGTCCTAAATAAACCAAATTTACATTTCACATTATACCACTTCAGTTATATTTCACATAAGATATGACTAAGAGAATGTAAGTGAACTTGTGAAGCTTTCATTTGTAATAAAGCATGATTCTTAAATCAGGAACTTCCATGATAGGTACAGCCTATTTACCATTTATATTAAATCTGGTCTGTCGCTAGCTCTGTAGGTTCATTAACCCAGTAGCTTAACTCTTTCATTTGAAACATTTATGTTGAAACTAAACAGAGCTACATGAGAAAATCAGTGTCATAATATATTAAGTTATTTTACTGTTACCTAGCTTGTGGTGTACTAGACCCTAAGGTAAAAGTGTCTTATTTTTAGTTACTTGTGATAATATACTAAGAGGAAGTATTGGGTTGGGGTTGGGGGTTGTTAGAAGCACGAGTAGTATTTTGCTGTGATTTAAAAAATATTTGAAAAGATGTAATTGACGACAGAAATTGTCTTGCGCCGAAAGACATTAAGCTAATAACAAAATTTGGGAATCATTATCAAATAAGTAACATCTATCTATTCACGAGAAAACTTTCATAAAAACTTTTAGAACATTTATATTAAGTACGGTGAACTTCTAAAAAATATTGATGCAACTGACAGAAGTTTGACAATAATACTGAAGAGGTACTTCAAGGTATGATTTGCAAATGTCTGTGTTTTTGTAAGACTTGAGGTTCTCACAGCGGTGAGTATGAAGATATCCGTCTTCTGGGTTATTGCGCTGTGTAGTCTGGTCGATGTTAACCAACGTTTCAGAGGTCATACTGCCTCCGTCATCAGGGCGATGAGTATGAAGATTTCTGTCTTCTGGGTTGTTGCGCTGTGTAGTCTGGTCGATGTTAACCAACGTTTCAGAGGTCATACTGCCTCCGTCATCAGGGCGATGAGTATGAAGATTTCTGTCTTCTGGGTTGTTGCGCTGTGTAGTCTGGTCGATGTTAACCAACGTTTCAGAGGTCATACTGCCTCCGTCATCAGGGCGATGAGTATGAAGATTTCTGTCTTCTGGGTTGTTGCGCTGTGTAGTCTGGTCGATGTTAACCAACGTTTCAGAGGTCATACTGCCTCCGTCATCAGGGCGATGAGTATGAAGATTTCTGTCTTCTGGGTTGTTGCGCTGTGTAGTCTGGTCGATGTTAACCAACGTTTCAGAGGTCATACTGCCTCCGTCATCAGGGCGATGAGTATGAAGATTTCTGTCTTCTGGGTTGTTGCGCTGTGTAGTCTGGTCGATGTTAACCAACGTTTCAGAGGTCATACTGCCTCCGTCATCAGGGCGATGAGTATGAAGATTTCTGTCTTCTGGGTTGTTGCGCTGTGTAGTTTGGTCAATGTTCATCGCCCTGATGACGGAGGCAGTATGACCTCTGAAACGTTGGTTAACATCGACCAGACTACACAGCGCAATAACCCAGAAGACGGATATCTTCGTCTGTGTTTTTATTTTTAATGATGTTAAAGCGATATTAACTTATACTTAGATCAGAATTCAGTTGGAGGCTCATGTTCTTGGAGGTTCCACAATTATTATTTAATGTCCTTATAACTGAAATTTCATATATATGTTACAGTTTTGTTTTATCTACTGACTGGAAGAGGAGAAGCTCTTAGTATAGCATGGTAAGATATCCTCAGAAATTGCACAGAACAATACATCAAATCTCATACCATACAGTCTTATAGAAAATGACTGATTAAACAGCACAAAATCCCAGAATACAGTTACCTTCAAATGAAAACCTGTTTATCAAAAAATTTCTGCACCCCCAAGAATACAGAATGAAAGCCGTTACATAATTATCTTTAATAAACAGAAGCTGTTTAATATGAAAATGGAACTGTATAACAAAATTAAGAAACCCTCTGTATTAAAAGTATTTGAAAAAATCCTTCTTACACACATGTGACTACTATTTATAATATTCTTAAATACATAATCCATTAAAATGGCTAAATAATTATGAGTAATTCCTTGATTTCGTACTAATAGCTGTTTGTTGTTACGCAGGTTCCTTGAAGAAACTAGTCCATATATGTGGGCTAGTACAGGAATTGGACTCTGCGTGGGATTATCAGTGGTTGGAGCTGCTGTGTGAGATATTTATTTAAATGTTTTACAGAAAATACAAATTTTTTAAGAATTAGATATCATATATTGTTGTGACTACTAAAAGACCCTGCATTATATTAAAACCAGTTTATTTTAGATGTCAATTTACATGCTATTGATATTACTCAGGAAACAAACTCCTTATAAAATAAGTTCTTGTTTTTGTTACTATTTTCCAGAGGAATTTATACAACTGGTGCTAGCATCATTGGTGGAGGTGTAAGGGCACCACGTATTAAAACCAAGAATTTAATTTCTGTTATTTTTTGTGAAGCTGTAGCAATTTATGGATTGATAACAGCAATTGTTCTGTCTGGAACAACAGCTCTTGAGGTATGAAAGCAGTAACACTAGCAGCAAAACTAGTTAAACTAATTAAAGTATGTTCAAATTAAACCCTTTTTTAGTCCATGCAAGTAAACGTCTATCAGATGCTTCTTCCTGGTTTATGCTGATGATGTTAATTTATTGGACAAAAACAAAATATTATAAAGAACACAAGCTGTATTAGATGTTAGCAAGAAATCTGGTCTGTAAGTAAACACAGAGAAAACTAGGTTATGTTCAGACTACAGAATATAATTTTTGTATTAAAGTAGTTAATAATGTCTTTTAAAATGTGACAAAGTTAAAATAATTGGGAATGATGTTATTGTCATCTAAATATGACACTAATAAGTGCTAGATGTAAATGTGTAACATGAATGTAACCACACAGTGCCAGGTCAGTGGCCCAGTTATATCTAGAATGCAACACTTTCTTTCTGTACTGATGTTCCTGATTTTTTGATTACAGGAAACTGAAGTAACAAATGAGCTAATACATTCTCGGAAAATGATGGCAGCATATGTAACCTTTGGTGCTGGCTTGTGTGTTGGGTTGGTTGATTTGTTCTGTGGACTATGTGTAGGATCTGTTGGTGAGTGGCTGCAACAGATCAACCAGATCAGTTTAGCCTTGCTCACATTTATTACCATAGTCATTTTAAAATAAGCGAACGGCTTCAGTATATACGATGATTGTACGAAAGGGTCTTGAACTGCAGCAAAACATAACTAAATATTTCAGTCAGTAGGAATGTAAACATTCAAGTTGGAATTAAATTATATTGTGCATGTGTTATGCTGATTGTATTTCTGACAAAGGGAATTAATATAAATGTAATATGAAATCTGGTACATTTCTCTTCAAGTTTCAAAGAGAATATTCATTCTAGGCAGGCAACCACTGATTTACATGTTGTTACCTGTAATTTATAATGGTTTTTATATTCTGATCTGGTTTTCAAAATCTGGCACATCAGACATAGTTTTTAAATTTAACTACTTAACAGTAGATTTACTTTTTTTTTCAGGATCAGGAGCAGCTATATCAGATGCTGCCAATTCCTCACTCTTTGTAAAAATACTCATTATAGAAATTTTTGCTAGTGCCATTGGCCTGTTTGGTTTGATTGTAGGTGTTTATATGGTGAGTAATGCATGTTGTTATATTATATTATGATTGCAGTCTTATTTCTACTGTTTCTTTAATTAAACAGTCCATATAACCTGCTATTCTTGTTAATAACTCAGTGCATTTGAACTTAACGTGATGCCCCCCCATTGGATGCTTATCATCCGATAAAATTTTATAATATTCTTGTGATGTGAATGTGTGAAGTCTTACATAGTGTTTATTTTGTTAACACATTTATGATTAGTTACTTGGCCAGTACTTACCAAGTACTGGCCAAGTAAAAGATTTATCTACTTAAAGACTATTATTAACAGAAGATTCTTTTATTTTCAGACTTCCAGGATATAGCAAGGAAAATGCCAAAAGTCAAAGCTAATTTAACACAGGAACTCATGTGATAGTCAAAGATCAATAAGCTTTCTGTTGTATTATGAAAATGTGCAACTTAACAATTGCAGGCACTTATACAGCTGTGTAGTTCAATGTTCCATTGTATTTCTTGTCTACTCATATTACATAATAAAAAACTAAAATTCTAGTACTCTCTGGTTCTTTCGTTAATTTCAGTATTTTGGCCGAAGAAACCTGTTTACATAAGAGATATTTATATCTGTTTTCTTATATACTTCCATTATGACCACTGCTTGTGCTAGAAATTATATATGTGTGAAAACTACGATGTATTGCTTAAAATGCCTTTATATTCAGTATCATGCTTGAAGCAGTGTTAAGATTCTTTTCGTGTATCAGTCTCAGCTTTGAATTAAAATTAAGGAGTGTTAACTGAAGCCAGAATGAGCACGTGATTTCATGTGGAAGCAGCAAGGACCCCTGAAATGTTGGCAAACTTCTACCAGACTATATGGTGCTACATCCCAGATGACAGCCAACTTAAATCTTCTTTTGACTTGTTAATGTCATGGCTGGATCGATCTGATGATGAAATCTACTGTATAATGAATTCTTCTCAGGCTACCAGCAGTGTTAGCTGGTTTAATGGATAAAACACAATTAAACCACCCAACATGGCTGGCAGATGAAGAAGAATTCATTATTCTTAGTTGCTGTGAAAGCTTCAGATCTTACAAACCAACTCTGTTTAAAAAGGCTCTTCAACAAGATTAAATGGTTAACCACAAAGATTGAACAGGCTAAAGACCAAAAGGCTATGTTTATTTAACTCGTAGATTACAATAAATCTGTTGATGAATTTATGTCACTGAATTAACAGACTGTAACTGTACCCAGTAAAATGAGGTGAAGAGGGTCTAGCAACCTGACTACATGGGATAGACATCCATTTAGTTGCGCCTGGTTATAACATTTCTGGTGAATCATCAGATTTTTCCTCCAGAACATCATAGTTTATTTAACGACGCTTTTTCAATAGCTTAGACTATATAACATCTAATGAGAGGATGATAGTGAATGATGAATTGGAAAGCGAGTGACCATGGCCTGATTCAAGGTACTATACTGGTATTTGCCTGAAGGAACTAAGGAAAGCCACAAAAAACCCATCAGGATAACCAGTCCCCTGACCGAGATTCCAGAACATCTTGCATGGCGGGTGGCTGGAGAACACGTTTACATTTCAAGAGATCAATTTGATGTGTTATTTACGTTCTTGTATTTCCTTTTGTAAATAAGCACATGAGTCTATTGTCAGGTATGCTCTTTTTATTCGTGTTTGCATCAAACGTATTTGCAAAAGCAATAGCCAAGCAGTCGAACTTAATACGACTACAGAAGGAAGGAAGGAATGTACAAAAATGAAGCGGTTTCCGAGAAATTATCTCGCCAGTTCATCGATTTGAATTCGGAATATTTTATTCGATTGTTATTCGAATACACATCCGAATTAAAATCGAATGCTCATAACACTATCGAAATTCTACTATGGAACAAATTTTCTACAGTACAACGGTACAATTTAACAATCGGCTGAATGACCCTTGCGTAAACAACATCTTTCTGAGCACGTTCCAAGAACTTACGTCGTGAGTTTCATTGTATCTTGGTATTACCTGTGTTTGCAACACATGTTGAATATGCATCGTAGCAGGTGTGATGTGGAACTGTATAGTGTTCGAGGTTAGGGAAGGAAACGGCAGGTTGTGTTATTTGTATCAAAACATTTATACTTCTTTCCCTCAAATCGAGAAAAGCAAGTTCATTCATATTTGTTCAGTTTCATATGGCATGATGACATGTTATTCTTTACCGATTAGTATTTATTATGTAAAATGATGTTGACATTTAGTAGGCTTGGACCTTTTTGTGATGGTGAATCTGAAGATGGCAGTCTTACGACAGCAATCGTCGTGTTATTTTTTTGCTAGTCATCTTTGACCCGTGTTCCAAGTAGTGACATGCATCATTAACCCTGTGCCCAAAATTTGAACTGAATGCCTACCTGTTGAAAAGCATTTGCATTTTTAATATACTTGAAGTAAGCCAACATATTTATCAAGTTATGATAAATGTAATCATTTTCAGTAACTTGCAGTTTAATTCATTGTTACTCTGTTTTCGAAGGAAATTGAAATTTGTGTATACTCATTTAAAAATTATTTCTAAAAGTAATAGACGAGGTCAATAAATCGGACGTTTTAATTATAAGTTATAGTAGACAACAAAGCCAAAGGAATATTAACAGTGAGAGGTTTTGTTTTACACATTTATATAAAAGTACACTGTTATCGTTATGTTAATAGCTGTTTTGTTTTTATTACAGAACTGAATTTTTTTTGCTACCACTAATTTGAAAAAATGAGATTATTGTCTTGTAAAATTTTGTTCAACCAAGGAAATGTAAGTAATAAAAATATTTTATGTAGATTATGTCTCAATCATGAAGTTTATGTATAATGATATGATTGTGCATTGTTAAAACTTGCTTTGTAACGTGATGTTGTTTTCAATTACAGTTGAAGTATGTGCAACCCTCGGTTGTGGTGCATCAAAAGAGAAACAGGTATTTTGTTTTTGTTCTGAAGTTAGGAAACCTTTACTACTAATTTTACTTTTTTCTCTCACTCGTATATTTCACCATATATATTTGCTACTCATGTAAGTTGCAGTTTTGTTGTTTAAAAGCTGTAGGCAACTAAAGATCATTATGTAGACCTAACTTTGTTGTGTGTTGTAATTGTGTATTGCAAAATAAAAATTTTACCATCAACCATATTACATTATTTCAAGCAGTTGTATTATGTGAATTGATAAACAGTAAATTTAAACATTGAAACTTAATGAATATTCATATTTCTGCTGTTGGTACAGCATTATTTAGATTATGTGAATATTGTGTTGTCTTTTTTTTCTCAGGAATAATGACAATTATATGGTGGTGTTGAATAGGAATTATTTTTGTCACAAAAGTTTTTCAAAAATGGCAGTTGTGTTGAGTCACATTTAACATTTGTGTGTCTGTGGAAAGATTTAAATAATAGGTCACTCACGCACCCATTCACTTACCAACCCTCTGTAACTCAACAATAAACAAACCTGTCTTTTTTAAATATTATATTTAAGAGTTTGAAAATTATTTATAATTTTATTTTAATAGGTCAAATAAGAATTATGATTATCAGTATCTTCAAAGGAGTAAGGTACCTACATTACATTTCCAAGCTTCTCTGCCAAGACTTCCAATTCCTGAACTTGAGAAAACTTGTGAACGTTATCTAGCAGCCCAGCAGCCGTTACTGTCCCCACAAGAATATGCGAATACTCAAGCGATTGTCACTGAGTTCAAGAAAGGGGAGGGATTGTCACTTCAGAAGAAACTGAAGGGCTGGGACAGTAACAACAAGCACACAAGTTACATTTCTGAACTTTGGTTTGACAAGTATCTGCGTGACAGAGTTCCACTCCCCATTAACTACAACCCACAAGTTGTCTTCGTTAATGAAAAAAAGCCTGGTTATGGTACCCAACTGATCCGTGCAACCAACATGCTTATTTCATCGCTCAGGTAAGTAAGTTTTTTATGAATTTTCACTACAGTTGCCAATATTATTTTCTGTTTCTCATGCTCTTCATATATCTTAATTATTTCCTTAAGACTTGTACAATAAGTCATGACAAGCCGGATGTATCAAAGACGTTACTTGCCGTAATTTTTAACGTGTAAGTTTCAGAGTACTCTTGGTAGATACTGAATCTTACATGCCAGCATTTGTGTGGTATTTAACATGTTAATAAAATAATGCCACAAATGATGGATTCTTTTTAGCATTTTGCCATGTAATTAATAAATAACTCACTTTACGTACAGGTTCTTTAAGTCTATCCGGGCTGGGCTTCTGGAACCAGAAGTATTTCACCTTCATCCGAAGAAGAGCGACACCGAACTTTTCCGGACAGTGACGCGTCTCTTGCCACCTTCACTTTCTTGGTATGGAGCTTATCTCTTTGGGGTGAGTTTCATTAAAAAATAGATGCGATCTTTCTGGTGTTATTGATGACAAAAGAAGCTGGTGAGATGTTTAATATCTGCTTAATGAATATACTCTGAAATGTAATTAGAGATATGACTTTTAATCAATCTAGTGTGCATAATTTGTCGAGAAGTGTACCGTGTTTTAATGAAACGATAGGTTTTGTTGTTACCCTCTCCTGTATTGGAAAGATAATTTGTAATAATTATGAATTTAAGGGCCCATTTTGAGTTTGTAAACCAGGTAGTTCCTGGATATCTTTGCATTTACATTGGTCTGTCCCTATTTTAATTCCAGTCACTAATGTATGCACATTTATTTATTTATTTATTTGTGTGCCTTCTTTTCTTAATGCATGTGCAATGGTTTAATGGTTTCTTTGTTTTGCTCCGTTAACTTCCAGGCTTTTCCACTCGATATGTCCCAGTATGGAAGTTTGTTCAATACTACAAGAATACCAAAACTTGACAAAGATCGTCTCTTTCAAAATGAATCTGCCAAGCACATGGTAGTCATGAAGGGAGGAAATTTCTACATTTTTGATGTTTTTGATAGAGACGGTGAGTTGGCTGCGTCATCCATGACAAAGTTAAATTTTATTTAGTGATATTTTTACAGTAACGTAAGTTGTTTTCCAGATATGGAACATGGAAAGACACTTAAGAGATACATTTTGTGACTCCTGCTCAGAAAGGCACTATATTAAATCTTCATGCCTGGTTTTCAGATAGGTTCTTATAATTCCCCAGCATTTTCATGGTAGATGCCAGATTGTACAAAATTTTAGCAGGGAAAAACATGAGATAAATGAGGTGCGTGGTTGAATCTCGGGGATCCTGGACATCTTATTAAAGATGCCAGGTCTTGAAGAAGAAAATGGGATGAAATTATGTGATGGTAAGAGACCACTTGTAGTTCCTAGACGTTGGTGGAATACTAAATATGCGGATCGCAATTCTTCTGATACGTATTTTTTCCACAGACATCGAAAGAGATAATTGATGTAACATGTTTGACTTCATGTGTTACGTGTTAATGTTATGTTCTATTTTATCAGGTAACATTCTGCCACCATCAGATCTTTTGGCCTGCTTGAAGTACATTTTGGATGATACGGCTCCTCCTGCCGATTACCCCGTTGGAGTGTTAACGACTGAGAACAGAGACGTTTGGGCTAAAGCACGGCAGCATTTAGAAAGTATAGGCAATGCTGATATATTTTCTTTAATTGATTCAGGCATCTTTACGTTATGCTTTGACGATGCTGAAATTGCTGGTGATCTTCAATTTTTGCTGCGCCATTTTTTGCACAGCGATGGATGCAACAGGTATCTGAATGCAGATTGAACCCTGAAGAATCTTAAGTGCATGCCATAGAATTTTCCTTGAGAATCTGATTGTTGTTTATATGGTTAAGATATTTTCTGTTGTTGGAACCTAAAGGCTTGTGTTCATAAAAGCCTAGAATTAAACTGTAATCTGCTCCAGCTGAATGTTTTCACAACATTATAGTACTATATTCTTGCATTTGAATGTTATCCCTCGTTAGTATCTGTGTTAGTAATGCATCGGCATCGAGTGTTGTGAAAATTACATTTTGCTGCCATTACGCTTTGGTGTGGAGTAAAATTTGTTGCAGTTGGTAAGTCTTGCTTTGAATTTTACTTGTATAGCTTTTCATACAGAACTTTAGGCTTTTGTTTGGTGTATGTAAAATGTAAAGCTGTCCTGCTACATGCCATGAAGATGCTTGGCCAGAGAAGAAATATAATATTTATCGCCCTGATGACGGAGGCAGTACGACCTCTGAAACGTTGGTTAACATCGAACTACACAGCGCAACAACCCAGAAGACAGAAATCTTCATACTCTGATAACGGACGCAGTATGACCTCTGAAACGTTGATTAGCAACACAGCGCAACAACCCAGAA